ACATGTTTACAGAAATTAAAGTGTGTGACTGTTATATGAACACGAGTGCAACTGCTGAGACACAAGTCTCTGTGCTACGTTAAGACTGTTATGCCTACCTCAGGACACAGAGCAGAGCAACCTGCAGTTCCGTCATCTGCAGCCATGACAGAGGGAATTCAACGTTTGATCAAGAGGCTGCCCATGGTTTTTGGGATCATACCAATAATAACATGTTATTCTTAGCATTCATAGTGATGAATTTTCCTCTTTTGCATAGACATTACCATTAGCTTGCTTACTGAAAAGCTTGTCTGGTGCCCCCAACATGGGAACATATTAATGAATATATACATAAACATACCAATATAAGGAAAAATAAAATTTAAAACCTCATGTGCTCTACACATGTAACACAAGCTACAGAGATGTTTCACTGTCAGAATTTTCAGTTTGTCAGTTGATCTAACCACAGGTCATTTATATAAGTAAGTTTCAGACTTATTAATAAATATAGGGGGCCGGTTAGCTCAGTTACTTGAGCGTGGCGCTAACAACACCAAGGTCGCGGGTTCGATTCCCATTCGGTCCCCATGTGTTGCCTGATCTAGTCGAGAGGTGGCATCCCTGGCAGCAGGGAGGCTGGATTAAAATGATCTCTAAGGTCCCTTCCAGCTTAGGCCATTCTATGAATATATCCAATAGCTGTGCAAGAACTCTTGTTTGGTTTTTTTTTGTAGTGAAATTTTCTTTCTTTTCTCCTTGCTAAACAATCAGGATTCCTTGTTGAAACTTTATTCTCTGTTACTATTCCAAGTTTTTTTGATGTAACAGATGCAGTTTAGTAGAACCAGTATTTTAACAGGTTTTCTCTGTGTACTTGATGCTTTAATTAAATCAAACACATTTTACTTAAATTTGCATCTCTGCAAGACCAAACCCATTCTCCAATGGAAGGCTCACTGCCTTTGTTGTTCAGGACATCGGTGGGACATGACTGGTTTCCTTCTCAAAGTGGTTTTCAAAGGGAAGCATGCTTCTCACTACATGTTGCAGAGATTCAGTATCAGTATACGATAAATCATTTTGAAAAGGATGTTGCTGCGCTAAAATGGACTTACACAGGAAACAAATTCATTCTTCCATACAGGATAAATTACAGCTGGTAACTTCTAGTATTTTGCTACAGTAATAATTTCTGTATCTACAAAAATGCATTCAAGTACTTAAAAATTTTTCTCACAAAATACTCCTTGGCACCTGACCAAGCTAGTTTTCCTCATGGTTGTGAAGCATTTCCATTATTTGTTCCATATTGAACACAGAAATAGAGTCCATTAGGACTGCAGCATCACTGTAAACATTTGGTTCAGCCACAGAACAGTCTCACATCACCTAAACTGAAGCATTTCACACTATTCTCTTGCTGTTGGTTGGTCTGAATTTTTTAGCCTGTTCTTAGTCTACTTGTTATCTAACATACAGAAACAATACTACATAGAGCAAATACCCCTGATTTGCGTTTCAGTCCTGTTAATGTAAGTTTTCTATATATCTCAGTCTGTCACTACCAGTTGCAAGGCACATTTCACAGAAGTGTGATCTGTCATTATAAAAAAAAGCTGAAAGCTGATTTCACACCTCTGCTTGTTAAGTATTTTCTGAAGTAAATAAAGCTCTTCACTTAAAAAATAATTAAAACTAACTCTACATTAACAGTTCAAATTGCCTAGGTAAATTTGGTCACAGATCAATTTGCACACTGTTGCTGAAAAGTTTTATCAAGCTGCTTCATTTCATGCTTGTGAAGGATTGCTTTCTGATTATTTCTCTTCCACACACGTTTACACTTGGCAGGCAGTTATGAAAAAGCCCATCAATGATGGCAATATCCTTTAAAATCTTGAGGCCCAGTTGAAAGCCCCTGCTGACTGGTTGGTACTTTGCCACTGATGCTTAAGAGGTTACAGAAGTGGATTCTACTGCTGAAGGGATTACAGGCAGTAAGTGATGGGAAACAAATTTATACAACTTCAGGCTTTGTGCTGTACCCAAGGAATGCCTCACCAAAGTCTCATGCATCTGCTGCAAAAAGTTAATGGAATATTGTTCTTATTTCTTCTGAGCTTACCTAACTTTGGTTAAAAAACAAAACATAACTCTCTAACTTAGCAAAGTTTGTAATCTTGGTCATGGTAATCAACATGTGCAACTCTGTTTGAACCTTTGTTTCCCAATTCACTAGTCTTCTATTGACAATTAGCACAACTAGACTCTCAGCTTCATTGGAATCCTTTGGTTCTGTTATTGCAGCTCTTAGAAGCACCTGATTTTTTTTTTGCTGAAAGATGCAACTGAAAAGTCACTAATATTTCTGCTCTGCTGGAATTAGAAACAACTATGGATCTGAAGTGAACTCAGAATTGCATAGATCACTGGCAATTTTTGGATGGTGTATAGCCCACTGATTTAGACTAGAAAATCCATCTTAAGTCTCCCCATCAAGTTCCTTCATCTGTTTTTACACATTTGCACTTTTTAATACTAAATAATTTATTTTGCATTGTCTGAAATTTTCAGCTTCTCTTATTTATTCAAATCTTGAGAGAAAACCAAAGACATTATTTTTCTGAGTCTATTTGTGCAACCAAACACCTTTTGCTCCCACTAAATATGGGCTCTAGGCTACCTGCTTATCTCACTAGCCCAGAAGCAAATCAATAAGATACCCATATTCTGCTTAAGTCCCTTCTTCAGAGCATCATTTAGAGGTTTCATCAATATTCTGTAGCAAGCACTAAATTAAAATAATTCAATCTAAATCCAGTGGTTTACTCTGACCCAGAGAATTCCTATCAGGACGCTCTTTATCAAACCTCTTTAAAGAAAAAAAGGAGTTACTACACACTTTTCTAAAATAGTCTGTGTTTGCTGTGTATAGCAATATCCTTATATCCTCTTGTTCTTGACAAACAGCCTCACTTAAAACTGAAGCTGACTGACATTCTCTGACCTTTAAGGAGGCATGCCACAAAGTCAAACGGACAAATACCAGAAGCATCTACCTTTTTCCATCGGCAAACATGCCGTCATTAGCATAGCTCCATACACATGAGGGAAAAAAAAAATACGAATGCTTAATTACAATGTAGTGGATTTGGGGGTTTTGCAGTCTCACCCAGCCTCCTCTGGAGCAGTTTCATTTTCTCCACAGAAACCATCACATTTTCAAATGTGCAGGTGATTAGGTCAGAATTACAATGGCAATTAATCATCTCAATATCAGTATCTTGGTGGAATTTCACATACTTGTCCATTTGTGAACAATTTAATTGATTTAATAAAAAATAATCTCATAAATCAACTGGAAAAATAAATCTGGTTCAGGGGAGGTGGAGGGAGTGCAGTGCCATTAGTGTAGCTGCCTTATGTTCATCTTGCCAGATTGATCTTTTGGTGTACCAAGGAAATTAAGGAGAAAATCCTGCTGCCTTTCTGACATCATGATACATCTTTATTGAAAAACAACAGGCTGGATTCAAAGACAGACTAATCAGGTTGAGGGTTCTCCTACTGAACTTTTGAAGTACAGTTTGCACAACAGGATGCCAGTGCACATGCTGAGCAGAGTGCTACATAACAGGTTAGAAAGCACTACAGTCTATTAGAATATAGATTCTCATTGCTCTGGATAATCTGCTACACTGCACTATTTGTATACAACTTGCATTGCTTCAGAAAGGCTCCTCCAGGGAAGTGGTTTTGTCTTAATTTAAGTGTATACTCTGCCATATCAAAAAGGAAGGCCATTTGTGGTTTGATGCATTAGGTTCCACAGAAATGATGATTTTCCAGTAAAAAAAAATATTCAAGGATTATACTGAACACATTAAGGTGGAAGTACTGATAAAGTAGGAAACAGCTGGTAAATGAAGACAAGGAACAGTGTTAAAAAGAGAAACTGCAACATTTTTCTTTTAAGAAGGACATCAGTAACTACCATAAATCCTATGCGAGCAGTTAACATACATTTCACTGTAGACTTGGATGAGAAATAGATGTTTAAGTGCTGAAAACCAACATATGGTAAATTTTAGCAGTGCTGTTCAAGCAAGTACGACTAGTCATCTAACTGGCAAACTCTTCCAGAGGCAGAGAGAAACACTGAAAGTACACGTATTGATTACTATCCAGCAGAAGACAAACCAAAGAGGTCAGGGGTGGCAGACCAGGAACCAGAGCCCGTGCCCTGCAGGGAGCAGAGTACCTGCTGCAGGAGGATATGAAGGCCAGCCCCCCGCACTGTGGCAGAAGCGGCCATTTAGCATTTTGAATTCCGTTGCTAATCTGTATGTAAGTGGCCAGACGCAATTTATCTGACTGCACATTTCAAGAGCTAGATAGGAAACACAAATTGACAGATCTTCTACTTATACTATGCATTTCAGGACATCATGGTCCAGTTGCTTTCAGATCTCGGAGATCATTTGTTAGAAAGTCAATGGAGAGAAATAGCATTTATTGACAAGGAAAGGAATCTTTAGTAAAACCTTTATAAGAGACACACATATGACAGAGATGCATCTGCTAACATTTTCATATTAACAGAACCTTCTTTATTTCTATTAAAAGATATCTATTTCTAAAAATGGAGTTGAATAGTATGTTCCATTGACAGCTTGACAGTAAAAAGTATAACCATGTAGTACCTTAGCAGCAACTTCCCGAAAAGATCTCCTTTTGTCCAAACACAATTTCGTATTCACAAATCAAATGCACACCAACCAATATTCAGACAGTATTTCTACTAGAGACAAATGACAGAAATTACATGCAGAAAGTAGAGTTTTGATAGCATGTAAAAATAAAGACATTTACCATTTCCAAAGGACAAATGCTCCTTCTGGAAATTTTATAGGACAGTAGCTACAATTTAGCTGCAGCTCTTTCAAAAGCAAATACACGTTCAAAATATATATAATCAACATAGAGGCAGAGATCCTACTGCTATGAGTACTTACCTCATAACTGGCAATTGCTTCTCTATCAAGGGTTCGGGTCACAGAGACATCCCCGCTGATCTCATTGATTCTAAAAATTCCTTTTGGGTCTTGATCTACTCCCTTACCAGAAAGTCGAAACTTTGCTCCCTCTGACCCTTCACTGCTGACGACCTGCATGGCAGAAAACAAGAAGTTTCAGGCTGTATTACAAAAACTTGGGGAAAATTATTCTAAAACTACATAAGCAATTATGGTCTTATAACTAATATCAAAGTATATTCTCTGCCAACAATATTTAACTATAAATAATGGTTCATGGTAACATACAATACAACTATAAAACATAGTTTCAATCATTCAGAAAACACTGTGGAATTCTTGTGTTAGCTGGAAAAGCTACTTAGATTGTTAGCCAGTTCCTCTCCTTTCCTATCCTTACCATTTTCTATTTCACTACTTAAAGTTTCTATTATTTCATCACTCCTGTATTCAATTTATGTCTAGAATTTGACTTCAGTTTTATTTCTTTTTTTTCAGTTAAATTGATAAAAACCAGCTACAAACTTATATAAAAAAGAAAAAAAGACATATTCCATTGGGTAGCATAAAGCATACTTCTTCCACAACAATCCTTACAATACCAGATAGCCATCACCCATTATTTTCTGAGTAGTCAGTCCTTTTTATAAGCCACTGTAAAGTCATTACAAAATAGACTACTTTGGGGTTGGTTTTTTTCTTTTCCCCCATTCCCTTCTACACTCTTCTTTTAATCCTGTCAGGATTTTAAACCAAGGGAAAGAACTTCTCATGAAAATATCTGGGTATCCTGCCCAGAACTCTGCTTAGTCACACAGTTGGAATTCCTCCACTTTCCAAATTTATACGTATTTTCATATATATACACACGTGTGTACATGGAAACTCCTTGTTACTATCACTACCTTATTTCCCTATAAGAAAAAAAATCTCCAAAATCCAATTTCAAGGCTGTCTCACATTAATGACAGTAGCATATGTAAACTTGCAGAGCTACACAATGTTTGTTATAAGATAAATGCTTTGCAAATTTGTATTTGTACAGCAGAATCTAGAAGGATTATAAATTAATCTTGCCCTTTAAGGCTGACAATCTTGCCAAGCCATTCCTTCCCTCTGCTGTATCATGTTGTTCTTTTTTTCTAGCAGTTTTATATCGTTAATATTTCCACAGAAACATTAAGTCAAATATTTATATGCTGGTCTGAATTACAGCTCAGGAAGGGGAAGGGAAAAAGTGGTCTTAGAAATCTAGACCTACTCCTGTTTTGAGATAAGGAATATGCTGGGTGTTTAACAACGTCCCTGAGGCAATAGACGTTTGACGCCCAAAGGCTGTGAGTTCAGCAATGCTGGTTTGCAGATTACCGGGCAGGGAGATTTTGACTGAACTCCACAATCATTATTCCTTTATTTTAATTGAGGAAAAAAGTTACAAAATGGGAAATCAGCATTTTCAGAGACAAAGTTTCAATTCTCAAACCCTTTGGGGAAGGGACAAAATTCAAAGTAAAAACCTGTTTCACCTTTTTTTTTGTTCCTCTTTCCCAGCCCGAAACACTAATGGATGAAGTTTTCTTCTCATTTATTTTTGAGTATGTCATGCCAAAATACAGAGGCAGACACCACTGCAGGTGACCAAAGGGCAAATAACTTTGTAACTTCAGGTTCTGTGATGAAACCGAAGCTTAATGGTTCCTACTGAAAAGTTACCAGCTGTTCAATGCATTTTTTGACCCATCTCTGGTATTGTTTTACAACAAGCCCAAAAAATATGTGTTTTTCTTAACACAAAGCTACGCTTACAATTTTGCAATGTCATGACTGCTGCTCATTTTTGTAGAGAAAAGAAGAACTGATCATCTTCTGCCCTGATTTTTGTGACTTATTACAAGAACATCCAATATAAGAACAGTGGTTTGAAAGGCCAGAATCAGCCACAGGCCAGCACAAAAACCTAATTCAGAGGTGGCTACACAACAGCCCTTTCTATCACAGCCATCAAACATTACCTAACTGTTTATGACAAATTTAAGATACGGTGTAGGTGCAGCGCTCCACTTGTAACAAGCTACGGAAAGACAGCAAAACAAATCAGGGGCTATTCAAGGGAATTTATCAGAAAAAAATCTATGCATCTTGTTATTGTACAGCGATTTATGCTTGATATAGTAATAAGCAGCCCAGGTTGGAGATGCTCCATATATCACTGCATCATTTGCTCAAGAGCAACGGTGATCTCACAAAAAGTAATTTTCCGCAGCAGGATTCTTTAAAATGTTTAATTAGCCACAAGAGGGAGCTACGTACTCCCAGGAATGTAAGGAAGAACACTCAGATACCCTAATTAAGATGCTTATATAATGGCGGCATAGTTCAAAGAAAGTGTATTTCCCAGTTCACACTAAGCTCAGTACAATGAAAAGTTTAATAAAAATCAGGCTTAATTTGCCATATGGTTTGGTGCTTCAACAAAAGCAAGGAAGGAAGAACAGGAGGATTGTCTGACATCTCCTCTGGCAAGACTGCTATTCCGAGCACTGTCATAAACACAGTGCTGTTCATATGAAGATTTCCTGGTTCACAATGCATTTCCACAATGATGTTTTCCCAATTTGCTGGCTGAGAAAAAAAGAGGCCAAATTATTTCTGCTCGAATGTTTACTTGAGGATGTAACTTTTACATTTCTAAAAATACATGAATTACTTTACTGTAGTTACTACTATCTGAAGTCCAGACACAAACACTTATACCCATAATTTGTTCACAGCTTTAGGAACTTCAGTGCAGGTTCTAGCACTGAAAATGCACTTATGACAGTGGCTACGTGTTGCATACAAAGACTCTTCATTCCTAGGAAACAGTCCAGTTAAGGTAGCACAGACTCAAGCACTCATCAACTGAGAATAAGGATAAGGAAGACAAACACTTCATCTGGCTTCCCAATTTCCAGCTATTTCATTTTCTCTTGTTCTGATCTCACAGTTCAAAAGGGCTTTGACATTGCATGGGCAGACGGCATAGACAGAACAGGTGCCAGCTGAGCATCCCACAATAATATAGACTCTTGAAGGCTATTTCCTCACCCAGGACCCAAAGGACAGTATTAGATGTAGACTTAGATATTACTCACTTCCTCACACCCGATAACACCCTCCCATGTCAAGGGTGCATTGGAGAATAACTGTGTTGAAAATTGAAGTGATCCCTGCTAGCCTTGTTAGGACCACATACCTGGCAACCAAGACAAAACAGTATTTGTTCTTTCCAAAAAAAGGCAGAAACTGTACGATTCTACTCAACTAAAAGACACTTTCAACAAAACACAATGTTACTCAGCTGACAGGATCTGCTTTTTGCTGAACCATGGCCAAAACATATTTACCAAATGCTATTTTTCAGCTGACATTATGTATCCCTTCCAGTTAAACACATTTCAGCGATGTGATTCCCCTGTTGTTATGGGTTTATCGCAAAAGTAAATCAGAGTGTTCTCAAGAGAAGAAGAGAAATAGAAGTACAAAAAACCACACTACCGCCAGAGAGAGACTTTACAGTTCTGCAGCCCCAGCAAATCTGTCCTTGACAGCACCATCCGAGTTTACCAGTTTCATTCATTTGCCTCAACCACTTCCATAATTCTTAGTTCTTGACACCATCTGAATTACAGATCCATCATATTAGTTTCACTTTTTAATTACAAAACAAACCCCACCCTCAGGAATGTTTGGTTCAAACCCAGTACTTTTCATCGCAGAGCATTATGCTGTCTCTCTCATGTTTTTTATTTTTGGGGGGGTTGTTTGGTTTTGGTGCTGGTCCCCCTTTTTTGTTTTGGTGCCGCCCCCCCCCCCCCCTCCCCCTAAGCAATTTTGTCCATGGAATATTTAGAGGTGAACTATTTTTTGCTTTAATCACTATGCTCCACAGGGGCAAAACAGTTGTTTAGGCCCATTGTTTAGATATCAGATAAATATTTAAACAGACACTTCCTGTCCTGCCATACTGAAAATTACTCTTTACAGTCAGAGGCTCCATCTGCTCTGTACTGACTCAAATAATCTTTCAACCAAAACAAATGCAAAATATTCCAATCATTATTCAAAAGCACTAACCAGCAGAAACTGCTTCCTTACTATAAGCTAAACATATAAAATTTGTGGTTAAAAAGCAACTTACATAATTTGCTGAGTTTAATAATTTATTAAATCTATTGGTTCTCAATATCCCTATCTTCATTAATTAAATACTAGACAAATTAGTGAACCATGGGAACCAAATTCTGGTCTTTGACAAAGGGAGATGTGTTGGCTAAATCTGACTTTCCTTTATTTCCCACTAGGAATTTTCTTCAGAATTCATTCAATGTAGAGGTGATAGCCAACATTCAGGTGATTTATTCACATTAGTAATGATAATAGAAATTATAAAGCTTCTCTAAGTGACTACTTGCTTTGTTCAGAATAAATAGGGATAAAATCAACACATTATATATGTGACAGCATATATTTTAGGTAATACTTTTCTTGTGCACAAACAGTCAGCCTTGCTATCAGCGTCATTACGTTATCAACCAAAACACATCCGGACAAATGTCCATTCATTATGCTGGCAAAACACAAGCTAAATTAATATAGACAAGTACGAACAATATTTGCAAAATTCAAGTAAACAACAGAACAAAACTTCAATAATTACAGACACTTATGCAATAGAATAATGTAGGCAATAGCACAGTCCTAAATTTCAAAACATTCCGAGATTTCAGGCTCCAGTCTGTGTATGAAGCAAGATTTTCAAAGCTGTATAAATCTCCTAGACTATGTGCTTTCACCGCAAAACTTAAACCTGCCAGTCAATCCATCACTCAAATTCTGATATTTGTGCTTGAACCAGAAGCACAGAATGAAAAGGAAAATGGGAATATACAACACTGACCCAACCTCCTATGTAAAACAAGGTAAAGGAACACAAAGTCAAGGTGAAGAGTTTGATTTCAGACTCAATTTAACTCAGTAAAAAAGCCATAATTCAGTTATTTTAAAAATCTATTTTCTATGCCAGATCTCCAAGAGTCAGATTTAAATGAGTGAAACACATGCCTGGAAAGTGTCTGAAGTTTGCAATTTAA